CCTCCTCCTCCTCCTCCTCCTCCTCCTCCTCCTCCTCCTCCTCCTCCTCCTCCTCCTCCTCCTTCTCCTCGTCCATTCCTTGTCCTAAGACATAACTTGTCCCTGTCGCACCCTGAAGCAAGTTTTTAGGACGGGCCGGGGGTTTCGCCTGAGACTTCCTCAACATTTGGGATTCTGAAGCTTAAAAATGGCTGCAGCTTCACAAATGGAGGGCGAGTGATTTTCTAAATGTGGTTCTCGCCTTAGCGCCGCGCACATTCTTTGCAAAAACCTGCAAGAATTTCACGGATTGAAAGCGGGTGGTTTTCAAAATGTGGTTCTCGCCTTAGTGCCGCGTAGATTTGTTGTAAAAATGTGCAAGGGCTTCACGGATTGAGGGCGGGTGGCTTTCGAAATGTGGTTCTCGCCTTACCGCCGCGTAAATTATTTGTAAAAATGTGCAATGGTTTCACGGATTGAGGGCGGGTCGTTTTCAAAATGCGATTCTCGCTCTAGCGCCGCGCACACCCGTTGTAAAACATGCAACGGCTTCACGGATTGAGGGCGGGTGGTTTTCAAAATGTGGCTCTCGAATTAGCGCCGCACGCATCCGCTGTAAACAGTTGCAAGAGTTTCACGGGTTTCTGTGATCAACGTACCAATCGTGGCGCTTTGGAAAGATTCTAGATTATGCGGGCGCAACAATTATGTTGATTCGCGGTGTTGAAGTCCCCGAAAATTGCGTTCTGGCACGATTCCAGATCGTCAGGACGCAGCGGTCAGGTTGATCCGTGGCGTGGAAATCCGACCGTTGCAGGGGTCTATGAAGAGGGAATTTGGAGAGAGAGTTAATCCCAACATCGTTGATGACTCTTGGGTTTACACGGGTCCTCCTCTTACCTCCTACCTGCCTGCGGAGGAAGGGTCCACTGAGGGCCTCCAAACAAGGAGGGAACGACAAGACGAGCCGCCTCCATCAAGGGAGGTGTGTCAACCCACGGCGGGGGCGCCAGCCCCGCCGAGGTCCGCGACAGGAGACGGCACAGCCTTCCCCGACCAATCAGCTCAAGCCTTGAAATCTGGGGCTAGTTCCCCCGCTGTCAAACAATTCAAGACCCTCGTCCCCGTGCTCGGTGAGCCCAAGGGTGCATCGACGGTCAAATCTATGGAGCTTCCCGCGAGAAGGGACGCCCACCCCACCGCAGACCTGGCACCAAAACGCGCCCCAGAATGCATCGACACGATGGGAATCATGGATTTGAACAAGAAAACCCGCACACGGCGACTGCAGGAAGGCCTCCTTGTTCCCTCCGTCACCTGCGAAACAAATTGCGCACCTCCAAGGGCCAGGAGCCCTCTGCTCCACGGAGTGCTGGGTCTGGCTCAAAAAGATGGGCCAAGGAATCTTGATGAGCCTGCTTGGCCTGGGCGGAACGGGCCTTGGCTTCCTCCTGGCAATTTCCCTTGGCCGCTTCCCCATAAAAGGTCGGCGCCTGCTTGACCAGGGAAACTGAAACAACCACGAGGGAATCCGGGACCTGGTAGCACAGATTGCCCGCCCAGAGCATCGCCCGACGGTTCTTAAAAGGAACCTGGACCAAACGCGTTCCTTCCTCCGCCGCCTTGACAGCCAATCGGTTTGCAAGCCAGTCGATTGGGCTGTAACCTCCTAACGCTTGCGCGTCTTGGGCGCCCTCGAATGTTAATTGCGACCTGATACTGCGAAGTGCAATTGGCCGTTGTCCAGCAGCTCTTCAAACATCGGCCCAGAGCTGCGCCATCTTTTGGTGTTTGAGGCGGGGTCCCGCTCCAATCCCCGAAACAACACCGGCATTATCTATAACACAAGTGATCGGCCCAGGGGTAACCTGGGCGGCACGGGGGGTAGCATATAATTCTGCTGCCCAGACTGTCTGCCGATCACCCAGCATGGGACCTAGTCCCCAGGCCAAGTGCTGGGTTCCGCAGAGAATGACACAACCCCACCCGCAGCGTCTCAGCCTAGGGTCATCGCTCTCCTCCCCGCCAGCCCCGTCCGACCCAATCACGCACCCCAAGTCAAGCTGGAAAAGATCAGGTCGGAGCTGCGGACTGTGGCGCTCCGCGCCCTGGATAGGAACACAACAATGCTGGTAGGTCCAGGGGAGCGGGGGAAGGCCTTTCAGCCAGAAGCTTGGTCCTTCAGTCGCGCCATCTTCTGCCTGGGCAACTAATCCGGCTTAAAATCCAAAGATTTGGCGGTTGGCGGGGCATGTCCAAAGCTGGTGCAGCAGAGTCTCTTGAGATGCTCCGCGCCGAGTGCAACTCGGGAAGGTCCACGCGGGGCTGGAGGCTAGAAGCGGCTCCTCATCACAGAGCCCTCACACAGTGGCCTCCTCCTCCTGCGCGAAATCCTCCCTCTCAGCATCCTGCACCATGGCTTGAAAATCGAATCCATCTTCTGCCATGCCGCTGCCGCCCGAGGAGGACAGGGCAGGGGCCGAGGGGGCCGAAAGAGGGGCCTCCTCCTCTGGAGGAGGAGGAGGAGGAGGAGGACGACGACGACGAGGGGGATCAGCCCTCGGAAAAGGCTTCCGAGCCTCATCCCCGAAACGCCGAGACGCTGGCCAGAGAGCTCCAGACAGAATCATCTCTAATACTACTGCCTGATCGTACGCTCCAGTCGACTGGAGCTTGTTGAGCTTGCGTAGCGGGATAAACATGTCAGCGCGGCCAACGAGGCTGCTACCATGGTAGTGTTCGCTCGATGTTTGTCCACGCCTGCTTGTCGAAGGCGTCGAGCAGGGCAAAATCCAGCAAACGCTCCTGATCACATGTTAGAGCTTGAAAACCTCGCCGTCGAGATCTACCCAACGGTCGGGCTCTTCAGGGTTCCATCCCGCCTCCAGGAGACAGGCAACAGCGGCAGCAACGAAACCGTTTACTCGCTTCCATCGAGTCTCCACACACCGCAGGCGACCGAGCGCCTGGCCACATGCAATGCGGAGCCCATGCTCGTTCGCCTGCATGAAGGAAGGAAGAAGACAGGTCCACTCACGCACATCCCTAATCCTAGTGGATATCATGGGGTCAGAGTGGGGGCCCTGGAAAAAGCACCGCAGCACCTTGGTGGCACAACCACCTTCCTTCCGCCCCACCATGCCTGCCATGGCCGCTCCAGCCCTGTGGCTCACGCCGTGAGACTCGCAGCCCCACAGAGCCTGTGGGAGCCAGCCCGTGCGGACAAGGCCTTTCGCCCTGCGGTCCGTCTTAACTACGCGCTTAATTAGGCTGGACCTGTGGCCGGCAGCAGCGAAGCGCTGCCTGAGGATCGCAGCCGAGCGCCGTGAACTCACAGTGCCTATGCCCAGGTCTTTCCCGCTTGCGCCCCCCCGGAGGCGGACCCTTTCCGGGCCAAATCCGAAACGGTCACCGGGGAAAGATGGCGAAGGTTGGCAAGGACCCGACTCTTGCATGATATAATATAACAAACCCACTATCCCGAAGAAGCTGGCCTAGGCCCTCGCTGGCTCGGGCAGCCTGCGGGGAGACGACCTCAGCTTTACCGACATGCCACTGGCTCAGGTCATCCACCCAAGACTCCAAGACCAGAGGGCGGAAATTGGCGTGAGCCGTCTCCAGGATATCCCACAGGGCCACCTTGGCAATGTCAACGCTCTGCGAGCACTCTGCGAGCAAGCTCCTTCCCAGAATGATGATGCCTGAAACCGCTCCCGAGGCTCGGTGGCGCCGAGGGGCCCAGTGCATGTCCGGGGCAAGGAAAAGTGGCATGAGCGGGTGGTCAACTCGACTGGCTATGTCCACAACTGCGTCAAGCCGAACATGATCATAAAAATGTTCTGAATCCCAGAGGACCTGGATCCAGCTAAAGCCCATGGCGGAAGCCACCTCCAGCTGGTCTGGTGCAGAAGGGCCGCCCTTAAAGCAGACGAGTCCCTCACAGCCCGATCCCAAACTAAGCCCGCTCCGACGTCCACCTCGCGATACCGCAACGTCGGGCTCGGCCCCACACGCGGTAGAGACCCTGCGTGAGGGCAATCGGTCTGTCAGCCTCGACGCTCTAAAAAATCAGCTGGACTATGATCATGCGAACCTGCGGCGGCCAGGTCAGCGTGCTTTCCTCCTCCTCCTCCTTCTCCTCCTCCTCCTTCTCCTCCTCTTTCTCTTCCTCTTCGTCCTCCTCGGACCGGTGTGCAGGCAGGGGAGGCACATTGTCCGCTAAGGCCGAAAGGTGGCCCCAAGATGATCCAAGGGGACCTTCTTGCCCAAAGGCCCGTGAGAGAAGCACCCATAGCACGATCCCAAGAGAGCCCCGAGAACACACGAAGAGGCGCAGGGCTCCAAGAGTGCAATGCTATGTGCCCACCACGCCATGCCCCCATTTCGTGGCTTCTCAACAAAATTGCACGAGGCCAAGACAGCCCTCAAAGAGGGCCCCAAAGCCTCTCGAAACAGCCTAAGAGATTAGAAGATGGCTCCACGGGACCTCCAGGTGCTCCGAGACCCGACTTGGTCATTTTGGGGACTCTGGGTTTGGCCGATTTGGGGGGCCCTTTGGTTTGGGCCGGGGCTGATCCAACCTTTGGTTGAGCCGGTGTCCCCGCTCTGTCTTTCACTGGTGCTCCGCCCGCGGCATCTCGCCCAGGAATTGCTTCCAGATGGGCTGGTGGGGGGCACGCAAGGCGTAAATAAAATCGCAAGGCCGAGCCTGCTTGAAGAACGGATGCAATGATGATGGAGGTGCGCGAACGATGATGTTATACAAAGCAGTGGCTCGTCGAAACATCCTTGCCCACGCTGGGAAGTGAAAAGGACAGGAGCCAAACATAATCACGCACTGCTTATATACATAGTTGTGTTCATTGCGGGCAGCGCGCAAACTAAGTGCCGTGCAAAAGCGGCACAGGATTATATATATAGTTCATCGCGAGCAAATCAATTCAAGTTCAAGCCATAGATCCGCCAAAATGTCCCTGGACACCCTTTGGAGTGGTAGGGTGCACAGGGTCTGCTTGGAAAGGTTCTGGCATGTTCTGGCATACTTGATGCTGTTCCCAGCCTCAGGCCCAGCCAAGTCGCCCACACACCGGAGACTTGAAATCTCTCAGACGGCGCCGATACCCTTCCCGATGGCCCTAAAACTCTCCTGGACGCCTCGACAAGGCCCAAGAGAGCCCCACAGCCGCCAAGATGCCGGAAAGCAGCCAGAGAGGTGCTAGGAGCCTTCCAAAAGGCTCTCCAGAAGGCCACTGGGAGGCTGAAAGCATTGAAACCTTCACAGCTACCCAATGTGCTGTGCCAATCAACCCTTTTCTCTCCAAAGGCAGTAGATAAACCCAAAAGAGCTCCACTACGCCTCGCAAACGGTCCCCAGGAAATCCCGAACTGTTTCTAGAGAGCAACAAGACTGCCCCAAACTAGCCCCATGAGATCCCTGGGACCGCCCAGAAGTCTCACAGGACACCCTCAAAACGACCTAAGACCAGCTGCAACAGTCCAACGCAGCCCCGACCCTCCACACGGCCCCAAGACGGTCCGGCTATTCCTCTTCGGGGGAGCTCGGTAGAACCATCGCGCCCGAAACGCAATCCAATGACCCAACTTGAGATTCGGCGACAGGGGCGGCAGCCTATCGATTGAAGGTTCGCGTGGCACATACCGTACAGTCGGGGCGTTGACCTAAGTAACCCTAAATAAGGAACGAGGCCCCTATTCTCCACAAGTTAACCTTCGATTTCCTGTCGAAAACCTAAGGAACACCTGAGGCAAGCTGCGAAACACTCGAGGAACGCCGAGCCCCTCCCCAACGAGAAGGGTTCCTTCTGCAGGGCCCCGACGGTATCGCCTGTGTGCAACGTCGCTCTGACTTGCTCAGACCCGGTGCATACTGCGGCACGAAAAGCGGAGGCGTAGCACGGGCACTGCTGCGGGCTGCTACGATATTCGCTGGGCGCATGGCCACCAGGCGTCTGGCCTGTCCGCTGGCCATTCCGCTCCCCGCCTCCTCGTCTGACCACTCAGACGCCGATGGCCCCCCCAGACACATGGGCGCCGTGAAAAAGAAAAAAAAAAAAAAAAAAAAAAATGTTTGGGAGGAATCCTTTCGGGCCCCAAGACCCTCTCGGATCGACCATCCCGAGAAGCGACGCTTCACACAGATGGACCTCAGGGAACGCCCCATTTCGAACGACGTGGAGAAAAGATTCGGAAAGCTCTGTCTCGGCCTGTCCACTGGGACGGACCTGGGGTGTTCTTCAAGTCCCGAAGCTGGAGGCGGGGATCGATCTGGCAGGTGATTCTCCCCTCCTTCCCCTCCTCCACCTCCTCCTGCCGCGCCTTGCTCTGCGGGCGACCCCCTGGTGAGATTACCAGAAGCCTTTGCCACTAATCGCCTGGTCCGATACATTGATTCTTCTGCGCTTCTACTTCCGCGATGCAAAACTCGGCAGGCCATGTCAAGTGAAAGCGACTGTCCCAGTTGGACAGGGAAATGTTCTTGGTCTCCCAGAGCTGCACGAATTGGCAATAGAATGCGTTTTTATCCCATAGCTTCGTCGAGTGAAATTCGGCCGGCAGGGCAGGAACCATGACCCGTTTGGTCACTGGATCGCGCGCTGTGCACTGGTCGCCCGGAGTACGGAGCGCCTTCTCGTAGACCGCGAGCTCCTTGCCGGGGCACAGGATGTGCATGAAGTCCAGGTCACGATTGTGCAGAGACATCCTACGATGTGCAGTCCACGATGGCGTCACGAAGCTGAAGCCTGGCTTCTCTCGGCACATTTCATCGAGCGACATTGCCACTGGGCCACTCGGGGGCCGAATGCCCGTGTGGTGCACGACGGCGTCAGGCCGCATGGCCACGACCCTGTCGAAACTTTGGCCGCTCTCCACCATGTCCGCGACCACCCTGTGCACGCGGTCCCACCAAGGGGTGCACATCCCCCCCCCAGAGGCAGCGTGGCCAGCCTCGAACAGTTTCGATCCTGCCACCTTCCAGGGGACCGACATCCCCTCGGCGGCACCCCTCTCTGCGCACGTGTCTTCGAAGTCGACCACGCTCACGACGCGCGGGGCGAAGAACTCCTTGATGCGCTTCACGTGCGACTCGCGGTCGACGGTGGGCTCCTCGCACTTGCGGTAACGCCACCTGGGCGACCCTTCGCGACACTCGAGGCCCGCGTTGGTGCTGAAGAAGATAGTAAACGTATAGCCGGCTCTTTCGTTCGGCACTATGACAGACTGCTCTAGCAAAGGCCACGTGGCCTCCATGTGGCGGCTCAGGCCCGCCACGACAAGAAGCACTCTCCTCTCCCGCGCGTCCGGCGGCTGCCCTTTCCCGATGCTCTAGGTCGCCCGAAATGGGTACGGACAAAAAGGGGGCACGATGCCCAACGAAACAAACGGCGTCCAACACCGACGGCAGCCGCTGTTGGGCAGGCTATCTTCTGTCTCATGTGGATTACCCGGGCCGGGCGAACGGGGGGGATAGCAAAGGGGGGGGGGGGAGAATCAGCTCACGCAGCTGATTTTCCCGGCGCTTCCCGGCGCCGGGAGGCGCCCAGGTCTCGAGGAATGGGCCCGGCGGCGGGGCCGCGGCGGGGCCGAAACCAGCTGCATGCAGCAGATTCCGTAGCCCCCCCTTTCGTCCGGCCCGAATTCGGCCCGCGGCGGCACCCACAGCGAGCCCTGTTCCAAAGGAACGGGAACTGCTGCCGGTCGTTGAACCCATTCTGCCCGCACCCATCTCGATCGCCCCGAATGTTCAGCCCCGAGGCGATCAGCGGCGCCAGCCCTGGCAGCATAAGCAGCACAAGCCTCCCCGCGCGGGCCATAGCCGTGCAGGCAGCCCGCGCTGCGGGGCACCACCTTGTCAAGGTAAGACTTCGGCGACTCCGAGGAGTGTGGTTTGCACAGGGTGTGGTTTGCAACCGGCACCCTAAGGGGCACCCTGGGGGGCCGGCGAGGACGTCGACGGAGCTCTCCGCCGCGCTCCGAGGAGGCCCGACGAGGACAGCGTCGTGCTCGCCAGGCCCAATCGGTGCCGATCGCAGATCACACCCCGACGGAACCACACCCTGTGCAGCCGCCGAAGATTGCGAGGGTTGTGTACGCGTCTTGTGACATGGATACCCTCGGGCCAAAATGGCATCGACCGTAAGCAAAGGCCCACGCACACCAGCTCAACCGCACACACCTCGAAGGGTGATGGCGCCATGATCTCGCGATGCCTGGCCCCGCGCTGGCCCGCCGAGCACCCTCTGACGGGCTCACGGGGCACCTACTGGCGCGGACTGCTCCGCCAGCACAGGCTGCGGCGCGTACCCGACAATGGCCCCAAGGCGGCCCCAGACCCCAAGACACCGCTCGAATCGCCTGGGACGGCTCAACGAGGTCCCAAGCTGGCACAATGTGCTCAAGAGGTCCCCAAGATGGGCCCCAGAGGCCCCAGGATTGCCCAGGATGACCCCGACAGGCCCCGAGATGGCCGAAGAAGGTCCCAGAGCTGTCCAAACATAATCAGGAGGACGGCGGCAAAAAACGCGGCCTTTCGGATCAGGCCGCTCCCGCCTGCGGCGGGTGCCGTGCCAGATCACGCTGTCCAAATGCTTGGCAGAATCGGCCGCTGCCTTTTTGTGACCACCCTGAAGTCCCTCCAGTGGGGCCCAGCTCTGCCGACAGACTTGCGACGGCTGCGGCGACGCTGGCGATTCTGGAGGCCCCAGGACGGACCCAAGATGTGCCCAAGACCGCCTCAAGACGGCCAAAGATGCCCCCACGACACTCCGGAAGGCCCAAGACGGCTTCTAGTCGTCCGAGCTCCGGGTCCCCCCACCAGCCCCTCCCTGCCCGAGGTGTTCCTGCCCGAGGTGTCTCCGGCTTCTCGCGCCACTCTGGAGACCTGCGGACCCTCTGGGCCTCGCGATGGGTGGATGCTCTGAAGGCCGTGGGGCCCTCCAAGCGAAAGATTGGGCCGCCTTGGGCCAAAGCCACCGCTGGTAACACTTGACCATCGGCCGGCTGTCCAGGCTAGGGGGTCCAAAATCGGCCTCTGGGCCTCTCCAGGAATGCGTCCTGATCTGAAGCTCGAGGCTGATCCGGCCGTGGCGACGAAAGACTCCCGGAGGCCGAACAGGCTCAACGCGTTTGAAGCACTCGAAGCTCGATCCTTGCTGCTCGAACCTCTCCCCCCACGCCCTCGTCATCGCCACCGCCATCGCAACCAGCACCTGGTCTGCCCGTGGGCTCCTCGAAGGCCTCCGCGTCACTCGGCGAGGGCGCGACCTGCGCGGAGGAGGCCAGCCGGCCAGCGAGGAGGGTCAAGCGAGGAGGAGGCCAGCGTCATCGTCAGCGTGCTGGGGAAGCGCTCTTCCGGAGCAAGCTGGCATCGATAGATTCCGAGGCAGGCGGCTGAGCAGCCGCGGCGTGCAGGCGTGTTTGGAAAAGAGTCAGTTTACATGCACATCCACATAGACATACCATGTACACATGCACATACACATATACGTACACTGACACGCAAACATACATGCATGCATACATACATGCATGCATGTACACATAGCTATATTCATATATACATACATACATACATACATACATACATACATACATACATACATACATACATGCATGTATGCATACATATATACGTGCATGCATGCATGCATGCATGCATATATGCATACATACATACATACATGCATACATACATACACACACATACAGACAGACAGACAGACAGACAGACAGACATGCATACATACTGTATACATACATACGTACATACATACATACATACACACAGACATATACACATGCATACACATATACATGAATATACAAATATATATATATATGTATACATACATATATATGTACCTAAACCATACACATGCAAATACATGTGCATATGCATACAAATGTACATATACATATACTTATACATAGATACGTGCATAAACATACATATATGTACAAATACAAATGTATGCTCGCCTTATATACATATACATATACACATACATACACACATACATAAACATATACTGTACCAAGATATATATATGTGTGTACTAGAATCATGCGCGCGTCGCGGGCGCTTAGGTTCTAGCTAGGATCATAGTCATCGTCACCATCACCACCATCATCATCCTCATCATAAGCACCGTCATCATCACCATCATCATCATCATCATCAGCAGCATCATCATCATCGTAGTTGTGCTTGCGGGGGCTCTCCCGCCGAACTCGTGGATATGCCCGCAGCGTCTTGGATGCCGCTTGAGCCGTCTTGGGGACTTGGGTGGTGGGCCTGAGGCCGCCATGCCTGGGCGATGGGCCAGTGGCCTGGTGGATGCCAGTTGGGATATGTGTGGTGGAAGTCTTTCGGAGGCCTCTTGGAGAGCTTTCGGGGGCCTCTTGGGTACTTCGTGGCTTCCTCTTGGGGCCTCTTGCTGAACAGTGGGCTCAGGATCATACAGATTCGCCTTCCTCAGGGCAGCTCCTCTTCAGAAAAGGGCCCCCGCCTGAACGGCAGGCCCGTGGTGCGAACGAACGGACGAACGAATGAACGAACCATCACCACCAACAACAATCCGGGCCTAACTAAAACCACGTGGGGAGGGACATAATTGGAAAATAGAACACATGCACCGTGACTGGCAAACCACAGAAAACGTAGTTCGCCGGTCCAGCAAGCCAGAAGCGCACTAAGATCTCCAGTAGCAAATGACTTGTATATCTAGTTCACGCGCTTGTAGCGGCCCCTGGGAGTGCCCGGACGAAGACCACCGCCTCTTGGGGCTTCCTGGGGGCCTCTCGAGGGTCTCTTGGGGACTCCTTGAGGCCTCTTGGGGGCTTCAAGTGGACGAGGGCTTGAAATTCGGTTCGTGTTCCCCCTCTGGGGCCCCTCTTGGGGCGATTTGTGGTGCCCTTTTCGGCTGCCTTGGGGGCCCGTTGGGCCGTCTTGGGGCCCTCCTGGGCTGTTTCGGCGCTCTCTTGGAGGCCTCTTGGCCTGTCTCTGGGTCGTCTTTCGGGCCTTTTGGGCCATCTTGGAGCGTTGGGAAACCAAACTGGGGAGAACGCTAGAATCCTTCAAAGGCCACGGAAATCAATGATTTTTGTCTCTTCGGCCCTTCCCGGGGGTGCTGTCGGAGGCCTACTGGGATGCTTTGGAAGCTTTTTGGCAGATCTTGGAACCATCTGGAGCCGTCTTGGAGTGCTCCCGGGCCGTCTCGGACCTCTCTTCGGCTGTCCTGAGGGCGTCCTGGAGCCATTTTAGGTGGTCCTTGGAGCGTCCTGGCGCCTCTGGGGGGCGGGACAACAGCCACTCGACAAAGTGCCCCCCCCCCCCCCCGGTCCAGGACCCCCTCCCCATTTATATGTATGTCTACATATACCTATACGACCACCCTTCGGGTGATAAGGAGGTTCGGGGGGGGGAGGAACCAACGTCTCACTCGATCGGTCTCACTATCGATCTCACTATCGATCTCAGTATCGGTCTCGCTCGATCGATCTCCCTCGATCGATCTCACAATCGATCTCACTCGATCTATCTCACAATTGATTTGACTATCGATCTCACAATCGATCTCACAATCGATATCACATTCGGTCTCACTATCGATTTCACTATCGATATCACAACCGCTCTCACAATGAACGTCATCATCATCATCATCATCATCATCATCATCATCATCATCATCATCATCGTCAACAACAATATCAACATCAACATCATCATCACCAACATCATCATAATCGTGACACCGTCCTTATCATCAACACCAACATCATCATCATCATCATCATCATCATCATCATCATCATCATCATCATCATCATCACGGTCATCAACATCATCGGGACACCACCATCACAATCATCATCCTCATCATCACCATCATCACAATCATCATCATCAACATCATCATCAGCAGCATCGGGACACAGTCATCGTCATCATCATCATCAGCAGCATCATCATCGGGACACCATCATGATCACCATCGTTAGCATCATCATCATCATCGGAACACCATCATCATCTCATCCTCATCATCGACATCATCATCATCAGCATCATCAGCATCATCAGCATCATCATCGTCGTCATCATCGGGGCACCATCATCATCATTAACAACATCAGCATCAGCATCATCATCATCACCATCGGGACGCCATCATCATCAACATCATCACAATCACCATCAGAATAATCATCATCATCGGGACGCCAAAATCATCATCAACCTCGTCATCATCAACATCATCATCATCGGGACACAATCATAATCAGCATCATCAACATCAAAATCATCATATTCATCACCATCGGGACACCATCATCGTCATCATCATGATCATCAACATAATCATCATGATCATCATCATCCTCATCATCGGGACACCATCAGCATCATCATCATCGTCATCATCATCATCATCATCATCATCATCGACATCATCATCATCATCATCATCATCATCATCGTCGGGACACAATCATCATCATATCGTCCTCATCATCATCATCGTCCTCATCATCATCAGCAGCATCACCATCATCATCATCATCGACGTCATCATCATCACAGAATTATCATCATCAGCATCACCGTCATCATCATCATCATCTCATCATCATCATCATCATCATCATCATCATCATCATCATCATCATCATCATCATCATCATCATCATCATCATCATCATCATCATCATCATCGCGGGACACCGCGGGACACCGGCGGAACACCGCGGGGCACCGCGGGACACCGCCGGCAGGACACCGCGGGCCACCGGCCGCCCGGAAGGGAGTCATTTGGTCCGGCCGCGCCTCAGCCACAGGGCCCACGCAGCTTCGCCTCGCCCGCACGCACGGCACGCACGAACACGAAACCGAAATCGATTTCCCGGTAGGGGGGCTCTCCGTTCCACTTCGATCTCACCCCCTCACCTCCGACAGATGCAGATACATGTACACTAGATACACACGTACATAGACATGGACATGGACATAGACCTAGACATCTACATCTACCTATACGTGTACATCTGCATCCGCATATACATATGCATGAACATATACATAAACATGACCTTATACAGCTGCATATACATGGCAATACGCGTATGCTTATACAGTTACATCAACGTACACACAGACGTATACAGATACATTGGCATGTGCATATGCGTATGCGTGTGCATCTACGAATGCGTAAACAGTCATACATACATACACATTACATATACATATGCATATACACATCAATCTACATACATACATATATATATATATATATGTCTATATGTGTATATATACACATCTGAATAAACACGT